ATATATATATATATATATATATATATGTTATATTTATGCTGATAAATAAAAAAAGAAAGACTAGTATAGATCTATTTCAAGCTATTTAGCTATCATCAGCTAGCCATACCCTTGCTGGGATTTAACCTGGGCTATATTCCATACTATGCAGACTTCTTAGCCATTAGGCCACAGGCTCTTATCCGTTATCAGCGAAGCCAGGGTGAAAGGTATCTATTAGATTTTTACAACCCCTGGTAAGCCCCAACCATGGGAGGAAGCCAACTCTCACACATAATATTTGGGCTGAGTTGCTTCTTATGGAATGCATCCCCTCCTTTCTGGGAATCAACCTCCTTATTATATCCCACTACATTATCATTAAAAAAAAATTTCACTGACTGCAAAACTCTGGTTTCACAGCATTTGCTTTTAATATTTTTTGTCTTCTGGTTAGTGAAGTTCATTATGTCTTCCAAAATTAATGGTCTGTTAATTGAAAATATTCATGTTATTAACAATTTAACGAAGCCACCATAAGTGGGTTGCTAATTTGTGGATGGTTCAAAGGAGCATCAGGCTTACACCTTGAGTTACAATAACTTGTAGATAGACTTAAGTCAAAGAAAACAATAAAAAATACCTTTGGAAGTAAGGTAGTAAATTTTCAGAGATGATTTACAGAATTTTTGAAAGTATAATTTCTCTTTATTGGATTTTTGAGACAAATCATTGCTGTTTTATTTTCTTACCATTTTGCACCATTTGTAGACCGCTAGAGGGCAGTAAAATATGTAGAAGTAGTATCTTATTCCTTGTAGTTATTCCTTCTAATTACAGTATTCCTAAAATAAATAACATTTGATAAGATTAACACCAAAGAACTGGTTGATGCAAACTCTTTGAATTTAGTTAAAAATAGGAAAAAAGTGCTGCATCAAAAGATTCAAAATCATGAGATACACTGATTTTTTTTAAAAAAAAAATAGTTTGTAGCATGCCAGGAATTGTATGATTTTTGACTGATATTAATGAAATAAACACAAGAATTTCCTATTTGGCAACAGTTTCTAATGCCTTGTTTTATTATGGCAAATGAACTCCTAGAAATAAAATATCTTCTAAAACGATGTAGTATTCTAAGCTGAGTTCCGTTCTATAATTGTATTACAGAAGTAGAATTGTGATACAAAATGTGATATAAAAGTGATACAAAATATACAGATATGTTATAGCACAGTGAATACTATATAAAAACATTGTATTATGTCCAGTGGTAGTCATCCACTCACAGAATGCTCTATCTAGCAAGAAAGATGCCTCTTCACCCTCCTTAGTCTATGTAGCCCATTGCCTATTTCAGTGGAGTTGGGGACCGTCTGGAGCAAATTTTGAGTGTGTAAGAAAAGGAAATGGAGAAAAGTCATGTGAGGTACAGTCCATGTGTGTAAGCTTAGATGGATCAGAAACTCTCTATAAATTACTGTAAACACATTAGCATTCTATTAATCCATCATAAATAGTGTGATTTTCCCTAAATGGCTTTTTGTTTATATCCTAGATAGGATCAGAATTCATCAATCAGAGAAACATTGGCAAGTTTGTACACTTTATATAAAAGCAAATGTTCCTTCTCCTAATGATTTTAATTAGATTACAGATCAAGTATAAATAATTTTTTGTTGTTGTCGTGGCTGATTCTAAAAACTGGATTGAACAAGTTTTCCAAACTAAAATGGAAAATCAAGAATCATTGACTTCAACTAAGCTCTTTGTGGTCTGTAAGTTTTTTGTTATCTCTGGAAAGTAAAAAACATGATGAGATTCAGCAAGTTATGACCATTGTCACTTCACAACTCCTGATTTATTGTCAGAAGTACTTTAACCATGTTGGAGGCCTCTAATTTCTTTGACAGAACACAACAATAGAAACTAATTATGATTTTTAGATTTTTGCTTAAAAATGATTAAAAAGAACTTTAAAGCCAGTTAGAATATTTTGGCAGGAGGAGAACAGTATATTTATTATAATATGGTATATTTTTTATCATATGGCACATTTGTATCACATTTTGATTAAAAAGCACAAGAGATAAAAATATAAAATGTGCAATATAGATCTAAACTATTATAAAGATATATCTTGATTACATATATAAAATTTTGCTTCATTTGTCTCAGCCAGGAAATCTGCAAAGTCTCCATTATAGGCTCTATTTTGGCACTCTGTCATTGTATGTTGGTCTTCAGGAATTTAGAGTTAAAACAGAGATAAAGGAAATCACATCTGCTTCAGTTGTTGTTTCCATCTGCCTTTGTAGCAGGTTTAGCAATCCAAATTAAAAAATGCAAATTGGAACCAATTCAGTGTTTAACAGCATCAAGACATTTATCTTCATTCTTCCTTCATATTTAAAATCTATTAAAGTTTAAAAATTATATTGTCTGATAATGTAAATCCAATTTCATAAAATTTATTAGCAGATTCTGAAGAGGCAACATTGCTTTAAGGTTTTTCATTATTCTAATTTAAAGTTAGACAACTGTATACCATATGTTTTGGAGTATAAGACGCAGCTTTTTCCCTCAAAAAAGAGGCTGAAAATCTGGGTGCATCTTATACACTGAATACAGCATTTTTTGCTTCCCAAAACCTTGCCCCCTTCACCAAAATGGCCATGCATAGCCTTTAGGAGCCTTGCAGAATGTTCCTGGTGTCTGGAAAGGGCAGAAATGAATGGAAAATGGGCTGGGTTTTGCTCAATTTTGCCCCCCCCCCCCAGCCCCCAGGAGCACTCTGCAAGGCTCCTAAAGGCTATGCATGCCCCTTTTGTTTTTGACAAAAAATGGGCCCGTTCATGAAAAATGGATTGTTTTTTGCTCGACCTCTCCCCCCCTCCCCCCTCCCCCCCCGGAGCACTTTACAAGTCTCCTAAAGGCTATTTATGCCCTTTTTTGGGGAAGTCTGCAGAGTGCAAAAACTTTTTTTTTATTTTCCTCTTCAAAACATTGGTGCGTCTTATACTCCGGTGCATCATATATGCCGAAAAATACTGTATATACAAAGATTAAATAAAAATGGTTAACCTCAAAACTCATTTACTCCCACACGTTATAAAATATAAATATTTAAAATAGATATTCATATACTTTTGTAAAGTAGCTGGTCATTTTAAAATATTTAACTGTGCTAAGCATAATCCCAACTAAATCCTTAGATTAGTAGAATAAAATTAAGCAGGTATTGTAGTAGCACAGCATGTAGTAGACTGTATGATACAGATTCAGGTACAGCTCCCAAGAAACTTTTTGATCAAGCAAATTTCACTTCTGTTGTAAATAAGAAAAAGCTGATAAATGTCAGCACCCTTTGTCTTCAAGCATGCAAATAATTGTAAAGGGTGGTGACATGACATGGAATAAAGAATTGTGTCTTCTCTAACTGTACCCTCTAAGTTCTTCAACTGGTGGTATCTTTTCTGGGAAATAAAACAATCTTAAAAGATGGATGTGCTGTTGTGAATTCCTTGATTAATACTTATAATTTTAGAATCCATTGAATCCACTGAGAAATGTGTAATTCTCCTGGGACAACTGACATGAAGCTTCCTCATCTTTTCTCCAAATCATTTACTGGAGCAGATTCTATTACAGATGTCTGCAATTACATCAGTAATCATCAGTGATGTATCCCATGTAGTAAATATGATGAATAAATAACACCACCAGAGAGAACTGTATCCAGAAAGCAAAAAGTAAAAAAATAATCCAAATTGAAAATAGAGCCAAGATTAAGCCAGGAGAAAAGTAATTAATTACTCCAGTGTCATAAAAATACATTTTGAAGGTTCCTATGAACCATTTTTTATATTAATCAGTATATTTTTCAATAAAGATAAATTACATTAATAATAGGATATAGTGATTAAGATTTTTTTAATGTACTAAAATAGTTAGCAGGAAAGTACAAATACACACAACTGTATCCATAAGATAGCACAATTTTGAAATTAATAACATTGATGAAGGATTAACTTTAAAAATAGGTGTGTGCCCACCCTTAACCATAAAAGTATATTGAGTAGTTTGGGGCCAATGATACTCCCTTAATCCAGTCCAACTCACAGACTTATTTTTGTGAGAATGAAATAAAGGGAGATCCTGCAACATGATTTTTTCTGTGTTAGAGAATACTCATCAATTATAGTAAGCATCTGGTTGCAGTTGTCACAGCTAAAAATGGTAAAACCGTTTATTGAATCCAAAGTTAGGCATTGCCTTTTTTCATAGTCACATTACATTTTATGTGCTATTTATCATTAAGTCTTAAACACGATGTTACTCATGTGATTCCTAAGAAACTTACACAATCCAATACAATGCAATATAAACATAATCAATAATGGACTCTATAATCAATCAGAACATTGGTAATTTACTTTAATATACGAATCCAAATAACCCAACACTCATAACAGCTGAAAGTTTCTATGTTCGTTGTAAAAACATTCTCAGTACTCAAAGATTGCAGAAATGCAGTGCTTTAACACTATTTTAGATATTAGGGATGAGGC